CATCGGCTTCGGCGCAGCCGGCAAAAGAACCCCCTGCTCACCACCAACCCCAGGTGTAGCGAGCCAGACCCGTCGATCGTAAATATTGACGATGCCTGATGAGCTGCCTACAGCCACCCACCGATCAATCCCACATCCCTTACCTCCCAGATCGTGTCTCCCCCCCAACGCCAAGACAGTAGTCCCAACCGCGCCTTCGTCCTGCCATCTCCCCACCACTTCCCGGCGCTCCACATTCCATTCCGTGACCTCCCCCCCCTTCCCCGCGATCGCTAACCCCTTCCCATCACCCCACCAGCAGAAATCTGCTATTCCTCCCCTGCTTTCAACCCTAACCTGGGCAATCCATTGGAGCGAAGACGCGGAGAGGATATTTATTACACCGCCGCCTTTCCGGGAGGAACCGAGGAGAGCGAGGTACGATCCGCAGGGGGAGAGTTTGAATCGTTCCATAGAGCGTTGTTCGTGCTGTTGGCCGTAGACACGGGTGATTTTCTCTACCTTTCCTGACTTCAAATCCCAAACATGGAAATACCGTCTCCGCGCCGATAAAAAGATCCGTGAGTCCTTCGGATGAAACGCGGTGGTTGTGAGTTCTGACCCCTTGACGTGAAGGGAAGTGAGGAGTGGATTCGCTACTGCCGCGGGAGGCGAGGGGGCAATGTGGTGGAGGTAGAGTGTTGAGGAAGGTCCGCTGGAGAGTATTAGGGGGAGGGAGGGGTGGAAGTTTAGGGATGTGATGGCTGAGGAGCCCGGGCCGGGGGGGAGGTCGGGGAGGCGTTGGATATTTATGACTTCTGGGCGGAGGATTTTGCGTTTTTTGCCTGTGGTTAGGGTGGTGCTTCGGGTTAGGGAGGAGGCGTCGCGGAGTAATCGCGACAGAGGCGCTGTGGATGGGATATCGTCGTCGGTTTCCAGTTCGTCGGCTGGGCTTGCTGAGTCGGAGTTGTTGGAGAGTCGGCGCTTTTTGCGTGCCGGTTCTCCGCTTTGCAGGGCTTGTGTGGCCCATTGTGGACGAGGGTGCAGGAGTTCGAATTGTTGGCGCAAACGACGGGTATAGTCTTTGCCGTTTACGACGTCTTCGGCTTCTGTGCGGCGGAGTTTTCGCAGTCGTGGTGCCGAGGCGAGAGAGACTAGTGTTCGCTCATCGTCTGAGTCTTGCCATGCTGCGGGTAACCTTCCTTTGGTGGTATCATCATCGCTGGAGTCTTCAGCAGTTGGGTTGGTTAGAGTGGCGTCTCCAGTATCCGTAAAGAACAGCTATGCCACCATAAAAATCAGCGATCCATCCTCCCATGTCTTCTGCGCAAGCCAGACCTACATCAGCGTCCTCGACCCCTTCATAGCCCGTCCCTTCCTCTCCTCCATCATCTTCTTCAACATCGTCACCATCCTGCACAGCAAGCTCGCCCAACCCAGCCCGAAACCCAGCAGAATCCCCGAAAACCAAGCGCTCCAACTCCAACTCTACCGCATCTTTCTCCGGCTCGCGATCAAGCACAAACTCGACATCGCTATCGTCTTCTTCCTCTTGCGCGGGTGGAGTCGGCTGCTGCACCACAGTCTTCACCTTCATCTTCGACATCGTTAATCAAATTCTTCCAAGTCGCAGAAGCATGTGACAGTCATTTTTCCAGAAAGAACGAAGCGAGGCTGAAACAAGCTTTCTCCGCATGACTAATGCGCCAGCCTTGCGATCAGGACAAAGCACAAAGCACTTGCTGCTTCTGCACAATCACTACTATACACCAACCAACACTTTCCCCCATCTTCTTCTTCTCAACAACACGAAATTCTATATACCACCACGACCACGCGACTCCACGCCACCATGGCCCCCTTCGCCCTCGAAGCCGGCAGCCCCCTCGCAACAGCCATCCAATCCGCCGCGCAAGCGAAACTGATAGAAAATGGCTGGGCGCCTGAGGAAAGCGATACGACGTTGAGTGAGTACGTGACGATGATGCTTGTGAATGGGAAAGATGAGCAAGGCGTGCGGTCAGAGCTAGGAGGGGAATTATTGGGCGTGGGAGAGGAGGACGAGATGGTTGCGGCGTTTGTTGGGTGGTTGTTTGGGGAGGCGCAGAGATTAAGTGCTGCGGCATCAGGTGGAGGTGATGAGGGCATGGGGTTGGATGATGGGGAGGGTGCGCCCGTGACGACGACGATGATGGAGGCGCAACAGAGTGAGCCGGCTGGTGATGAGAGTATGGGCGATGCGGGAGCGGTGGATGGCGCGTACGTACCCGCTCACACTTACAAAACAGCCCTTGAACTTTCACTAACCCACGTGATATACAGACCTAGCGGCCCAAAAGCTATGCGCGATCCCACCCAACAATCCCCCACACGCTCCAATAACAACTCGAACTCGCAACAAACTCGCGGCGGCCGCGGAAGAGGCGGCAGAATGCTCGGCCAGCTGAACAGAAATATGGATCGCAACTCCTCCTCCCAACCCGACGACCCCTTGCGTAGAATCAAAGGCGCTGCTTCGGGAGCCGGACGGATAGACGGACACGCTAACCGACAGAATGCTCCGAGAGGTCCAAGAGGTGGAGCGCTCGCGAACGGGGTGCAGCGAGCTATGAACGGCGGCAGAGGCGGGGGACGCGGTGGGATGGGTATGGGTGGTGGAATGGGTATGAATGGGATGGCAGGGATGGGCGGCATGGACATGAACGGTATGCCGCAAGAGCAACAGGCAATGATGATGCAGATGATGGAGATGCAGGCCAATATGATGGCGACTATGATGGCGAATGGCGGTTCCCTCCCAGGATCACCCGGTCTACATAACAACAACCAAAATGGCGGAGGAGGAGGTGGTTTCCCACCTCGAGGCGGTAGAGGAGGACGATCAATGGCCGACAGGATCTCTGGCCGAGGCGGACGAGGAGGTGCACGAAACGGCGTTTCTACGCAGAATGGCGACGGGGAAGGGAGTACAGGAGGAATGGATATCGACCGCCCCCTCGAACCGGAGAAAAAGCCTTTGTTCGATACAATGTGCAAGTTCAACCTTAAATGTCTGAACCCGGACTGTGGGTTTGCTCACCAGAGCCCGGCCAATACTCGACCGGGGATTTCGCTGGATATGAGCGATACCTGCTCCTACGGCCCGGCGTGCCAGAACACGAAATGTTTGTCCCGACACCCTAGCCCGGCTCTCCGAAACAACGGCGGGCAAGCAACAGGAGGGTATGGAGGTGGAGCTGGTTTTGGAGGTGGGAGTAAGGCGGAGGTGGTGTGTCGTTTCTACCCCAATTGCTCGGCTGGAGCGGCGTGTCCGTTTAAACACCCTGATACCAGGCCGTGTAGGAATGGTGCGGATTGTTCGGTTGAGGGGTGTGGGTTTGCTCACAGTTCGATAGCGTGTAGGTATAATCCTTGTGTGAGGGCGGAGTGTCCTTATAAACATGCTGCTGGGCAGAGGAGAGGGGCTTTCTCGGACAAGGTCTGGACGGCGGATGGGGCGGATGGGAGTGCTGGGATTATGGGGAAGAGTGATCGTTTTGCTGAGCTGGCCGAGGGAGAAGGAGCTGCGGAAGAGCTTATTCTGCCTGGGAAGCAGAATGGGGAGGCTATGGAGGAAGCGGCGCCTACGGCTACGGAGGTGGATGTTGTTTCTTAGATGGGGTTTGGGGAGAGGGGGAGGAAGGGAGGGGGAGGGGCTTGTACTTGTATTTCTGGGTGGAGAGGGATGGGGTGGGTGTTTACGAGATTTGAGATGAGAGTATGTATTATGCATTTCTTACTTACCTTTTTTACTTGCTGTGGTGCTTCATGTTCGCGTGAGTGATGGTGTAGGATGTGGCGATCTTGTTGATTACAGAGGTGGTAGGGGAGTGGCAGAGGCGGAAGAGTTGGTTTCCTCATTTCAAGATACGCTACGTTTCAACGGCTTGGCTGAGACATTCTGGGTGCTTTTCGAAATTACTCGAGTCCTGGTCTGGACCATGAGTTTCATGCTCTCCCGGACTGTGAGATGGAGGGAAGGTGCTGGCGCTGACTATACTAGCTGGCGTAGTAATGGCATTCGGGAGGGACTCACTTTCACGGTCTCGGACAGTCTATATCGTCGACCTGAGTGCTGTCGTTCTGGACTGTGCTCGAAATGAACTGAGTCATGACTGCAACTGGGAGCAACGGGCTCTTCAGGGGGAGCTACGGGCTTCTGCTGCTGTTGCTGATCACTGTGGCTGGTTGAAGGGCGACATTGGTGAAAGTGTCGTTTTCTTCATCATCAAACCCACACATTTCGTAATGGCACAGCTGAGCACGGACTGCTTAAGCTCATGTAATGGTCATGTGCGTCGGAAACAGAGCATCGAAGCCAGTCAGCAGCGGTGTGGCGATGTGTTTCGCAAGGTGCTCGTTTGCTTCGAGAAAGAAAGCATTATCTTGGCGTGAAGCACGGGCCTTCTTTTCTCACCTCACTTCACTTCTCGACCTCCACGCTTTCGTCTGCCCCAATAATCTAGCACTACCCGGACGGCTCTTAAATGCATCTACACTATGCGTGTAGTTCCTTGCTTTGCGAACTTCCAATACTGCTTCTTTGGATCCTGTACACCAGTGCACCGTCCTTCAGCCATGGTCCGACCACGACCCTTTATGCCTTGCAAGCTTCCCATCACCTGTACGAACGACCGCCTCATTGTCCCACAATATGGCGCGGCTCAAGGGAAAATAGTATACAGCACGTCGCATTTGAAGAGCTGGACGGGCATTGAGGCTTCGGCAAGATCGCTGCATCGAGCCCAGGCCACATCAAGGGCTACTCGGCACACTATTGTCATTCATGGATGAGACAAGCGGGCCGCAAATTTCGTAGAGAGACGATCGATGTCACGGCTGTACTCGTCGACCATTCGAACTTGGACGTGCAGGCGTTATGATCAGCTCTCTGCACCTCACGCCGAAGCCGGGGATCTGCCGCAACGGTATATATTGGATTAACAAAGTCATGTGCTCCAACATTGGTACACAGCGCGTGATGCCCCATAGTTCAGTGGTTAGAACGCCACTTAATCATTGGTTTGTACTGATTCTGTGGAGGTCCCCCGTTCGATTCGGGGTGGGGCAACTACCTATATTCATTTTAATGAATAGTGGCTGGCAAGCACGGGTAGTTCGGCAGCACGGATCTTCAGGTCCCTTCTGTAGGGTCGTTGTCCACAGGTTTGTTGTGAGGCACCGACCCTTCGAAGGCCTATCTGCAGGGCCGTAGTCCACGGCAGCGAGCAAGGTTCGACGTGAGACTACGGCCCTTCGTTAGGAACCTTAGTTCGGCTGTTGATTATGCTGTATAAAGTCACGCTAAAGTCACTCAGAGTGCAATCATTTTTTGCCTCTTTCTTGACTTTTGTTCATGAAGAGACATCCTTCCCGCTCTCTTCACGAGAAGCCCGATCGTTCAATACTTGACCATCATTATAGCGGCAGACGACGTCGACGTCTTCACGATCAATACCAAGCCTGTTGTACCGGCTAAGAGCAGATCCAGCGAACCGCGAACGCCACACCATTCTCTCACGCCTTTCCGCGAACGCGGTTGAACAGCATCACCACGATGTTGAATGCGCCCGCCGATGGCAAGCCTCGAAGATAGGAGACGACGGGAAAGACAAGCAGACATAATAGCAACAGCCAACGACAATATGTCACAAGCTCACTGCGTAGGCTCACAGCAGCGTCGACAGCGGGAAAGGAGCTGGACTAGTCAAAGGTGCATCCTCGCGATGGCGGATAGATACACGATCACCGCGCTCGATGTAGCGGATGATGGCAAAACCGGCAGCATGGAGATTGTCATCGGACTGAGCTGATGTCGCACTCGGCTGAGATCAATACCAGGCTTGAAACAGCAGCGCAAAGCAAGCACAGCAGCTCGAGTCTGGTGACACGTCAAGTCAGCATCTCCGGATCTGGGACTGGTCGATCGAAACAGTACGCTCGATGCGCATGCGTATGCGTGAGAAGGACTCGTAAAGTTGGAGAGATCGAATGGGTAGATTCTTGCCGTAGCGCACGGCAGGCTCCCATCGTAAACATTGCTTTTAGTGAAAGAGTTGAACAACGCAACGATACGATCATTTGGAGAGCACAAGATGGCGCTCAAACCCAAAGCCACGCAGTGTAAGCATCCAACCCTTGAACGCATGGGCAGTATGGCATTGCGGAGATACTGACATAAACCTAACACAAAGCCAGAGCGACAAGGTCGTAAAGAAGCCTACTGCCTCGATGCATCCCGTAGATGAGAATGCCGCCTCCTCCATTCCTTCCCAGTCGGCACATGTGACCACCAAGGTCTCGAGCCCGGAGCACAAGGCAGCTTCACGGTCGGCCAGGCTGCTTCCGAGATCCCTCCACACTCATGGAAGATCTACAATCGTGCAGATCTCCTCACAGCTCGCGCGTTTTGCTTTTCCCTTACGATGATGAGAGCATATCTTAGCTTCTTCCACATGCACGCAGACCTCGTAGCGGACGACAGAGTTTCGCTTCTCTCCCCGAGTAGAGATTAGCGTATCTTGGCATCAGGCTCAACTTCACCTCCAGCTCGCAACGTATCTTCAGGAGCTCTGACCCGTCAGCATCTCCAATAGTAATAACCTTCGAGTCCAATGCGTAGACGACGGCAATAATGCACGCTTGACGCTTCCAAGACTTCCAAGATTATGGTTGCATGCTCTTGCCGTGAATCTCGAGCGGTGCTTCACCTATCGTCAACGCACGACGGCCTCGTACATCACGTCTTGATGCAGGCGCATGGAGGAAGTAGTCACGAGCTGGATCTAGTAACCACGAACAGTGCAATATCAGTAGATCTATGTTGCATTGGCCGGAATTGAGTTTGTACTACACATTGGACGTGGTATAGTCACGTAGCTTGCGCTGCACGTTGACAACCGCCGTGTCCTTCATCAACGCAAAAGCTACTTAAGATCAGTGATACGTCACTACCGCCGCACACATGCTGAGCCATAAGAGGACCGTGGCTCACCGACCAGAATCACTCCCATTCATCTCATCGAGTCAAGTCCGACGTCGACCAAATCCTTTACTCGAGACCTACGATTACCCACACAGCTCAGCCATACAATCACCTGCCTATCATGAAGTCTACAACCTTTCTCAGCACCTGCCTGCTCATGGCAACGGCTGCTCTCGCCGCACCTGCACCTCAAGTCGGAATCGGCGGTCAAGGCGGAGTAACTTATTCTGGAGTAGGGCCGGCTATCCTACGCTGTACACTACTAGGCTAACAGTCACTTGCTTGCAGTTTTGCCAGGCTGATCAAGATGTGTACGGACAATGCCAGGCCGACCAGAATCGCCTCAAGTTCCCGTGTCCGAGTGACCGCCCAGTAAGTCGCTGCTTCTTGACACATATACTCGCTCAGTGGCTGACGTTCGTTCAATAGTGTAAGTACTGATGGCCAGGAGAGTCCGGATATAAGACATTGACTGATCCTCCTACCCTTTGCTTTTCCAGGCTCAGCAAACGGAAATATCTGCTATGTGGTTGTGAATGGCGCGGGTGCCAACACACTCTGTAGCTAAATGGAACAGGTGTGGCCGTCGACTTGTAGGAGTTCCCGTGGCTTGGTTCTCGCTTTGTAGCACAACAATCAATCGCAGAAACAATGGTATCGATCTGTCAGAATGATTCCCTCGGGTTGAACGTACGACCCCAAGAGGTACGACGTAATGCATTTGCCTGGTTTCATCCTTAGTGGGCTGATTTACGCAGGCCGATCGTTCTCCTCGACCCCGACCTTCCTACGTACTATCGCTCGGCTGTGATTGCAAGCCCGTCAGAACGCCAAGGAGGGAAGCAAAGCATGTATGCAGCGTAATGCAGCTAGAGTGTCTAGGCACATGTAGGGCCTCATAGCCGCGAAGTCAAAAGACCTTGCGTAGCCTCGATCGATGATGAGAGTCTGTGAGGCGAGCGACGATGTCATCGAAGGTGTCAGCTATATGAGTCGGTGCAGCTCCGTCAACGCCTCACTACACCCGGTGCAAGCGATAGCCGTACATCACCAACAAGTCCCATCTCTAAGATCTTTACTCAGACCCATGATGAGGTTAAGCGCCTTGCTCGCCTCGCTGTTTCTGTCAGCGACTGCTCTGGCCGCACCACAAACGAACCAAGAACAGTATGAAGGAGTAAGAGAAGCCCGTCCTTCCCCCAACGATCTGTCTAATCACTTTTGAGGTAGAATTGTATGGTTAACGGTGGACCTGGCAACTGTTACACCCAAGATGGGCTGAGATACTCCTGCAATTCTGCCTACCCAGTGAGTTTTAGCACATCGATCACGGTCTTCCGTCAGTCGGACTCGCGATGAGGGGTGGCTGACACTGTGTCTCAGTGCGAGATAGACGGTTCACCGTGTTTCGTAGTGATCAACGGAGCAGGCGCATTCTCTTACTGCAGCGGGTAGTGTTATAGATCGAGCGAACTGTACCTCACAGACCATTTCTCTCACGCCTATTCGTCGCGGCAGGTGACATCGTGTGCATTCAGAGATGTACTACGGCAGCTGATGAGAGCACCCCCAGCGCTTGTGTGGTCCTGCACACAGCGCCACTTGTCGTGCCCACACAGACAATGCTTGCTCGACTGCCGGAGCGATTGCTTGCTCACATGACTAGACTGCTTCACGTTGATACAATCTCTGATCATGCTACAGTGGCTGCCAGCCATCGGGAGTATGTTGCGTGGGTAGTCGACAGTGGTATCTCGCAATGCTTGATGTCCAGGAAGAGATTTTCTGTTTCTTAGGCATCAGATCCGCCCGTCCTTTCGCGACTGAACCTGAAAGTCATCGTGCAATCTGAGTCTCGACAGATCCCAAGCTGCTGAAGTTCGCTGGGTACGTATGCACCGTAGGTAAGTGCTAAGACACACCTATAGTCGAAATGACAACGGAAACGTTTACCGCTGGTTGTCATGTGCCGACACAGTCTTACGTTCATGATCTTCAGTCTTTGTCGTATAGTTTCCGCGTATTTGATGCACTCGCCCGGCCGATAACCGCCAAACTTGAATCTTACTTCGCGCAACATATTCGTACCAAGCCCGATACGCTTGGTCACTGTTGCAGACCAGACGCCGTTCGTGTTACGGATCGAGTTGGGATGAACGAGACAACAGACAACTCACTTCTGCCTTATGCGCTATACAGCTCCGGCAGTCATCAAGTTTGGTGTGCCAATGCATATGCTCGTGTTCTTCTTTAGGTCGACGAGCACAGGTGAGCTCAGCTCGGAGGTGAACAGTAAGTGTGATCTCACGAAGCCTGTTGATGCCCAGTATGATTATTGCTTTGTGCGGACACACCAAAAGCCGTCTCTGAGCCCCGCGACACTGTCGTCTTGTCGAGGGCTCTGCCAGTTGGTCACTAGAAAACCTTGCTATCGAGTGTACGTTTCTGCACGCAGAGCAGGCTCGCCATTGGGCTGAGTACAGCTCTGCAACTTCTGCTTCGCAAGCCAGTTCGGATCTTTGCCGTTGGAGTGCTTCAACGAAGTGTTCTCGCTCTGTACTGCTGAGATCATGTGCATTAACCGAGGCGAAGTAATATAGCCGCCTAGTCGCGAATCGAAGCGACAGGCAATCATTCTTGTCCAGTTGCAAGAAAACAAGGTCGAGTAGTTCGTCAGGAAGAGACAACAGATGATGTTCAGCGTTGTGAACGTTCTTACCACGTCACACCGCCAGATCGAGCGTTATTGCATCGAGTCGAGTGCACTCGCTTCGATCAGGCGTACCTCTCGTAAGGGCAGCCGAGAGTAGCCTAGATGCGCAGCTACACACTAAAGTCAAGGACCACGGCAATCGCGGCGCCCTTCTGAAGGCCGGCAGGGTTAGGTCTGACCTTCCATGGATCTCGTGTGTAGGAGTGCCTGACCGTGACCACATGTCATCGTCTTGCTTCCCCATTTCGGCGGGTGGTTGATTATCGGTCGACCAGTGCCTTTTTTAGAGTAGAGATGGAAGCATCAGAACGCTACTGGTACCAAATTGTCGAGCGGATGGTGGATACTTGGTACTTTCTTTCGGAAGTAGAAG